TGGCACCCACATTCAGAGGGCTTGGTTAGGTCCAATGTTGGTTCCCCAGCTTTATGACTAGGGTCTCCATGCTCTCATTAGGTCAGGTCCACTGTTTCTGTAGGTTTCTGCAGCATCATCTTGGCTCCTTTGCTCATTCCTCCTCCCTCTCCACAACTGGATTCCAGGAGTATGGTTCAGTGCTTAGCTGTGGGTGCCTGTTTCTGCTTCAAACAGCTACTGGATGAAGGCTCTAGGAATGGCAACCAAGGTAGACATCAATCTCATTATAGGGGAAGGGCATCAAAGGCAGTTTCTCCACCAATGCCTAGATTCTTAGTTGGGGTCATCCCTGTGGATCCCCTAACATTTCCCCTGTGCCAGACCTCTCTCCATACCTGTACTGTCTCCCTCTATCAAGGCATCTCCTTTCTTGCCCTCCTCTATTCCTCCCCTGTCTCAGTCCTCTTGTTCTCCCCCTTCTTCCCTTCCCACCTCCTTCCTCTCCTCCCCCCTTGCTCCCACTCTAATGGATTTACAAACATAAACATTAAAAGGTTGAGATATAATGAAGTTAATCTGCCAATAATCATATAATAGTACTGTATTTCAGAGGTACACGTGAGTTGGTGTGCTCTCCCGGGCCCCCGTGTTAATTAAACTCAATATTTCTTTAGATACAGATTGGTATTATTTAATATTTTATGTCACTCTGAATTGAATTTAGGGCCCTTACTTATGAGCCAAGCACTATACCACTGAGCTACCAAACTACTTCTCAGCACTAAATGTTTTACTACCTTTCTTCTTTTCTTTCCTTCTTTCTCCCTTTCTTGCTCCCTTTCTTTCTTTCCTTCTTTCTCCCTTTCTTGCTCCCTTTCTTTCTTGCTCCCTTTCTTTCTTTCTTTCTTTCTTTCTTTCTTTCTTTCTTTCTTTCTCCCTTTCTTTCTTTCTTTCTTTCTTTTGGGTGTCCATGAGCACATTAATCATAATAAACATGGAAATATCAGCGAACATCATGTGAAAGTCATCTTCCTCTACCATGTGGATCTTGGGATTAAACACATTCTCA